AAGTCGAATCTAAAACATCTACTATCCTAATCGAATCATCAGATGGTCAACGTTTAATGTGACCAAACTATCTAAAACGACTCTCTCTAATTTTGTCCGTCACTGGAGCTACACCAACCCTATCACGGATATATTCATTTCTCATTTTGTCTCTAAGTGTAAAGCCACTCATCCACGTAATCATTCTCATCTTGGTAACACTTAAAACTTAGTATTATGCTTCTCTTTTAAAGGCCAACATTCACATAGAGAGAGCATTGCAGGTCTCACTACTATCTTATAAAATTATCCTTTCAGTTTAAACAGTACTTTTCTATCACACAAAAGGCCCGAAGCATTCCTCCACTAGTAATATCCCCATCTATATCATCATTGCTTTGAACAACAGGCTCGGATATCTAAATCGTTCACACCTTTTAATAATTTGATCATCCAAAGTTACACTTCTGTCACTAGAGCTTGTCACTAGAGCTACTATCTAAAATTACATTCCTTGTATTCAGTTTTAGTTCTACTCAAATGAAGGCCTTTAGACTCCAATGTAGACCTCCATAAATCAAGTTTTTCCTGGGTTTTTTCTCTCGTCTTATCTATGAGAAGGATATCATTAGCAAAAATTGGAGAAGTGCCTGAATTCTTCGTCGAGAAAAATTGGAGTCACTCCCACGCTATTGTCACACTTTCTAGATGAGAGTTTTTGTGTTGCTAGCACTTTTATTGGAGAAGATTTTGCACACTATGGTCGCGTTTTTTAGAGGAGATTATTCTTGTTGTCATCACGCTTTTTAAAGGAGATTTTTGTGATGCTGAGATGTCGATATTTGGAGAATCCTGTTCGCTTAAAAATTAGTGGTAGTACTAGAATTTTTTTTTTAAGAAGCGATGCTGACACAATTTGAAGATAAGCTGACTGTTTCTTCAGGGGCATGAAAGACCGAGCTTTTAATGATCAACCGTATCCTTGGCGAAAATAAAAACGATAACTCCTAGATAAGCATGTGAAGACTTTGTAGGCTTTTCAAGCAAGGATGTTAGCTTTTAAAGAAAAGAATGTGAAGATGTGGAGCTTATGATGATGAGGAGTATGTCTTAGTGGATCAATTTATTTTCTTCTACTAACTTGTTATAGTCTTTGTATTGATGCATGTTGGTCGTGTAGTTTCAATAACTTGATATGACGTTTGTTCAAAGGCTAGCGTATTTTTCTGTACATCTTTCTTTTGTTTGATGTAATAAGATTTTCGATGTTGCTTCTAAGGTTGCTTTTGTTTTTCCCTCTGAGTTGTGGTTGTCCTATCTTCTGAGCAGATGTCTTCTAACTTTTGGGCTATCATTAAGAATGCTTGACTTTTTCTAAGTTGTTTAGTCATATTGTGTCCACCCGACGACCGCAACTTGTAGTGAAAGAAGTCAGTTGTAATTTATGATCAATGTAATGCCTGTCATAGGTTGTATATCCAAAGATGCTCGATGTTAATCTGTATCAGGATAAAGTCGAAAGGATAATCTGTTTGAGATGTAAGACGCCATTGGTTGTATAGCCGAAGATGCTCAATGACGTTAACCTGTATTAGAATAAAGTCGAAAGGACAATCCATTAAAGATGTAAAACCAGTTTAGGTTGTATAGCGAAAGCATCCGTTCGATGTCATTTACCTGTGATGAACAAAGTAATATGAAATCCACCAGGAATTTTTGACTTATCGGATGTTGTAAGTCGAAGCCTCTTCTTGGTGATTGTAACTTGTGATGAAAGAGGTTGAATCGAGTCTTTTGAGACCGATTAGACTAGAATGAGGTGTCTGAAAATGTTCTATGTTTCTCGAGATCGGGTGTAGGTCAAAATGGACCATATTTTTTCTTTGAAAAATGGTTGCGACCATATTTAAGATGACATTTGACAATTTCTTTATTATTGCTTTTGAATTTTTTGTACCGATAGGGGCATGGTCCCCACGAGTCTGTATAATAGCCCATATATCGAATGTCGGCAAGATCAAATTCTCGATGAAGTTGAGAAGGAGCTCTATTATGATGGGGGTGTTAAGAGAGCACTCGTTGCGGTGAAAGTTGCCCCAATCTGGAAGTGATTTTTGAATGAGACGTGGGATAATTACACTACCACAGTTGTGCCCGTGTTGGGCTTTAACATGAACGATCTTTCGAGACTACAGTGAATGTTGTCCCCTAGCCCAAATGTAGTCTTTATTGACCTTGCTGAATAAAACGTCAGAAGAAAACCCCATTACAATCGTGTCTGAGACGTTAATGTGAACGATTATTCTAGAATGCAGTAAATGTTGGTTTCCACATCGAATAATGCTTCAGGAATGATTTTGATGTATATCATTGGGAAATGAAGGGCTCGATGTCTCAGACCTAAAGACTGTGTCAAATGAAACTTTGATTATCACATACGGTGTCAAATTGTTGTGTGTCAAAAAATCCGTGGTGGTAGAGTAATAAATTAACGTCTTAACATTGTATAAAAATCCATCACACATAGATAATTAAGGAAAGTAAGCAGGAGGAGGTACCACAACATTTTAAGTGGAAAATTTTGAGATGGGGAATAAGTCACAGAGCCTAGCCCAGTTGAAATAATCAACTATGCAATAGTGATTACACATGCCTACTCTTCTGTTGAATTAGAGGTGGAATTATAAAGTTCTTCTATAATAGTATTTCAATAATGATAGTTGTAATGGACCGTAAAGGCTACATTAATTGTTATGGAGGCATTAATCCACCATGAATGTTGTAGACGGTGGTTGTAACTCCAGTTTGTCGTAAAGACCGTAGTTAAAACCATGATAACAGTTGATTATGTGGGTTATAGATGATTGCTTTAGGAACATCGATTAGCCATAAAGGCTGTAATAGGAGATACAATAACATTCGCAGGCCGCAGATGCCGGAGTTGGAAGGTGTGTGAGCTGTGAGTCACATAGACTGTAGTTTATCATATAGGTCGTAGTGGGAGTTGTAATAAAGTCCGTAGGTCGCATAGGGCGGAGTTGGAGCTGCTTTAACTATGCTAGCATTCTTAGGCCACAGAGGACGGAGTTGGGAGCTGCATGAGCTGTAATAATTTGCCTGTAAGCCGTAGGGGCCGGAGTTAAGAGCTACATGCGTTGTGGTAACGTCCGTAGGCCATAGAAGATGAAGTTGTGATCACGTTCATAGTCCATAGATGTCAGAGTTGGGAGCTGCATGAGCTATCAAAACCTTCGTAGGCCACATAATTTTGTGTTTAGAGCTGCATGAGCTATGTATCACGTTGGTGGTAGTTGGTTATGTAGGCCGTAGTGGTGGGCTGCGATACGTCTGTAGGTCACAGAGGCTAGAATTGTGAGTTGCACAAGATATGACGTAGGCCGCAGTTGGTCATGTAGGTCATAGAGGTGAGCTATGAGCCTGTGGTAATGTCTGTAGGCTGCAGAGGCCTGAGTTGGGAGTTGCACGAATTTTGGAGCACTTGAGCCGTATTTGATCACCTAGGCTGTAGCTGGGAGCTGCAAGAATATAACTTCAGGAGTTTGGAGATGGTCACAATATTTTGAGTACAGCGATTGTAAGCAGTTATTGCGGGGTGCATCATTGTACCGTCTTTGGGGTGTGTCATTACAGTGCCTTTGAGATGCATTGTTTCACTGTATGTGAGACATGTCGTTGCATCGTATTCGGGATACATTGTTACACCGTCTTCAGAGTGCGTCGTTATACTGTCTTCGTGGAGCTTCATTACATCATCTTAGGGGTGTGTCATTACAGTCTTCAGGGTGAGCCGTTACATCATCTTTGGGGTTTGTCGTTGCACTGCTCTGTAAAGTGTTTCGTTACCCGCAATAGTTGATGGGATTCCTCATGACACATCGTGATTTTGTAAGGGGCTTCGTTGCAAGGACCAAGGTGACAGAATGTGGTTGACGATGATCGACTAGCGATGGTCGACTGTGGTCGGAGGCTGTAGGAGCAGGTGGCGTTCAGTGGTCCTTTGGTGTAGAACACTGAACCTCAGTTCCTTATCATCCATGCTCTAGGTTTCCTGTGGTTCAACTTCTAGGTTCTCTTTCATGAAGGGGTAGGGCTTTATTTATAGAATCTGAGAGAAGGTCTCCATACAAATAAGGAATCCCGATCACTCTAACGGATGACCCGAAGAACTTCCCTTAATCGGATGACATGTTACTTAACGATATTGAAATTGATTGATCTTCGATTTTTATTGAGATGCTTGTCTCGACGGTAAGTTTGTGAGATTTGGAATACATTTGACTTTTCGATTGAGCACTATAAGCTTTTAAAAATAACTTAATGACTCGATTTGGACTTGATTTGACTTTGATTAGACCAACTTTGGTGTAGTTGCGTTCATCTCGTCGAGCCAGTTAGCTCGACTATAAGTTTACTGAAATCAGAATCTAGATGTATTTTAATTGAAATCTGAACATTTCTTGCTCAAAAGATTATCTCGAAATTTGTGCAACGTCTTGAGATTCATGCGAGATGATACAAATTTGTTGATGGTGTATCATATATTGACCGTAAATTTTTCATGTTATTCCAGAATTTCAAGGCATGTATTCTCTCTTAAATGCTTCTTCAAATCAAATAGTAGTAATTGTGCTCATCTCTGTCATGTGCAGGGCCTGAAGGTTCTTGATAGCTCGGTGGAAACCCTGGCTTCAGGGGCATGGCTTGCATTCGGGAATGCTCTGAAGGGAGGATCAAAACTTGTCCACAAGTATGCTATACTGGAGGGTTTCATGGTTCTTTCTTTTGGATTGCTATTATAATTTTCAATCCAGCTTTTTGCATTGTGAAGTTCATGACCACAACTTGCAAAGCGTGCTACATAAATTTTATATGCTTTATTTTTTCTTTTTTTGGTAGATTTTCAAGCATGCCATTCAATTCTTTTGTAGTTACATATGTAACACCTAAACTTCAATTTTTACATATGTTCCACTTTCCTATGCTTGAAAAGGTGTATTTCACTTTTTAAAAGTTAAAATAGTGATATTTTCGATGCGATATTAGAGATTTGGGTGTTATAAATGTAAAAAGTAAAGTTTAGGTGATGTGTAAATACATGAGAATTGGGTGGTATGTATGTAAATGCCCCTTTTTTTGTTCTCTGACTTACCTTTGATTCTTGAGTGCTGTTTTAACTATCAGTCAAAAGCTTTGAAACGTTAATTGTTTCCTAAATGAGAATACTTTCGATGTATTTAACAAGATAAAGACAGACAATGATCAAGATGGCAGATCTGGTTGATTTGATTTGCTGTACTTGTTCTGTTTCATACTGTTTAACAAAGAGATAGGGCAAATCTTGTAATTTCGGATATATAGATTTTATCATACCTCAAACTTTACACATTAATTCATAACCATACGTGCATACACTAACACAATCATATATATTTATGTATTCATATAACATGTATCATATATTCTATTTATATATGAAGATAGGCTGTTAACTTTTTTTTTTTGTTGGCAAAAGTATCTTTTCCACATTGATTATGAAGTAGAATTGCCAAGGATTAAGAATCTATTGCAAAAGTAAGGAGCAGAAAAGATTGACCATAAAGAGAGTAAAGAATCTTGGCAAAGAGAATAAAGAGATCTGTTAATGTGTTGAGAATGTGGAAAGGAGTATTAACACAGACGGATATGCTTATAAAGAATGAAAAAAATTCAAGTACTATAATGCCATGCAATAATTATAAGAAAGTTTGAATTTTGGCATCGAGAGTAATGAGAAAACTCTAAGTTAGAATTTCTTATAATTTATATACTTGGAATGTACTTAGAAGGAGAGAATAAGTTATATAAATGACCAAAACTTGAGGAAAGTGATATGGAGTTTTTTATCTTATTTTTAGTGTTATCCATGACGATAATATGATCCAATTGAAAAACAATGGCATAGAAGTATGGAAAATGTGATTTTAACAAATCATTATGGTAAATTTCTTTGAAATATTTTTGTAAAAAATGAAAATTGTGCATGCTCATGTAGCATATAATGGATCTCTCAGAAAAAAAGCCAAGTTAGCTCTAAAGAAGATGCATAATATCAAACTTTGGATTCAAAATAGATAAATACTATGATTTGAAGAGTTTAGGGATACTGGAGTAATTTGATCACAATTTTTTTTTGGTGAAATCCCAAAGACTAAGGATTTAAAAAATTTGAAGAAAGAGCGTTTTAATGGTCTTCAAACATAAATGAGATGTTCATGATTGTGATGATCTTATGAAATAATTTGAGGACCGGTTTATTGAACTTTTTGGAAGGCATTAAACATAGGCTAGGTGATCACAGTGTTATCATGGAATCTATATAGTTTTATTCGTTATGAGTGCATTATTTTTGAGATAATTAATGTATAAGTATAAAGAGCAAAAGAAAAAAAAATGCAATTAGAGTTGGCATATATAAGACATGACGAAATATCATCAAAATTAATTTGGTTGACAGTAAGAGATAAGATTTGTGTTGAATGTATGTCAAAGGTATTTAAATCATGTTTTATGAGATAATTTCTAGTCTTTAATGTAGCCGTGAAATGGCCATGGAATATCTAGTCGCATTTGGTTTTCAAGGTTCAATATTTGGTATGTATATGTTTTAGAGGTTATGGAGATGCTTACAGATGACATTTAAAATGAGTTACTGTTATAAATATTCTCTAAATGATTGATGGTATGGCTCTGTTTGGCGCGTCATTTTTTCAAAATATGTAAATGTTGAATAATGAAAGAAATTTGCTGAAGAAGAGGAAAAAAGCTTTTAGTAGAATAAATGTGCACAAATATATAATTTTTAATGAGTGTAGAATAGAAGGATTTGGTTAATACTTTGGAAGGTTGACAACGACTTTATATATGCTTAAAAATACAAGAATTTGACACCACTACTATAAGATTTAAATCTCTGGCAACGACGCCAAAAAACTTGATGCAACTTTTAATATGCAAGAATGTATGAACCCAAATTTATATATTTATAATGATTTTGTAAAGTCACAATTTCAAACACAAGTATACGTGTCGCTCAAGTGATACAGGGCTCTACTGAAATCCCGTTTATCGATCTCACAGAGAAGCGAGGTAAGAGGTCCTTAGTCAAATTCTAGTCTACAACAATTAGTCCTTAGTTTGGAATGTCGATTAAAATGATGTTTTATCTAGCAACTACTCCTAAATGCAAGTGTTAAATGTAAAGATAGTAACTATAACTAAATGCAAAAACTAATTCTAAAGATAACCCTTTTTGGATGAATTGGTTTGGATAATTTTAAGATATTAAAAACTATTATTCTTATGTAATGAATTGGATAATGTAAAGGAATGAGATGCACTAAATATTGTATGTGCCAAATAGGAGCAATCATCTTCTTTACCTTTGGTCCAGGCATAAAGAACATTGACTAATCCTATGCTTGTTTACTGAATCCGTGGCTAGGCTGGGAGGATACCGGCTCGTACTTCGGAGCTCCCACGTTCCCCTCGCCTGAGAGCTAACATCTCCACTTCAGTACTCAAACAATAGGACCGAATTGGAGATTTTTGTCTGTCTCACTAAAATCTCCAATTCTATGCTCGATAATTTTATTTCCCTATTTATTTGCACCGAACTTCCAAGGGCTTTAACCTCCCTAAATCTTGGATGTCATCTTCACTTTGTTGTAAAACTCAACATATTTTAACAAATCAATTGGCTAGATTGAAAGTAAATTAAGATCGAAGCCTTTATTGTAATGTAAATAAAGTGCAAGTAAAAACCATCACATTGATAATTAAATCCGCTTCTAACATGCATCACAAAATCCTAAACATGAATTTTAATCATTACAAAAGAAAAGTAAAATATAAACAACGACATAATCTTCTCATACCATTATTTCCAAACAAGAAGAGAGAGTAAGTGAAACACATCACAAAGCACGAAGAAAACACAACGGAAAACTTCAATTCATCAAAACAAATCCACTAGATAAGTGTTTACAAAACCATAAGATAATGAAGAACACAATACTTAGCTTTTTCCCTTTGAAAGAAAGAAGAAAATCTTTCCCACAAAGTCTCCCGCAGATCCATGCAATGCTAGAACATCTCCTTACAA